GTAGCGACGACACCGGGAGAATTGTTGAAGTGAATTCATTACAGGCGGGCTTTTGAAATTGGGCCGCCATTTTTTGTTTTTTTCCTCCAATCGAGTGAATATTTATTAATTGCATACTCCAGTCTTATTCCTTTGTTTTAATTGATCTATTCCTTTGAGGTCGTCTTTACAGTACGCTAGTACCTTTTTAAAGGATCTTACACCCTGCGAAATTTCTGCATCGATTTTTCCGCCTCCTGATCAAGACTCTAGTGGTTGCACTTTGCGGCCAATTTGTCTTTTCTGCGATTGTCCTGCGTTGGCGTTCTCACGCTCCCAAACGCAACGAACTCACCGTGCCAGCAGCAGTTACGCTCTGACAACTTGTCCTGTTTCTCGTCCTTCCTCGTTGGCCTTCCCACGTTCGTATCACGAATGGCCAATATTTCGAAAGCAACATCGCTGTGGATGGCAAGTTGCGCTTACACGCCAGCCTAAAAACAAGTTGTCAATCCAGACAACTCCCTGGTCTTTGTCGGTAATGCCATTCTGCCTATATATTATGCGCTGCTGTGCGGCTGCTGGTTGGGTTCAATAGAGCCCTTAAGGCACAGCGGAAAGCGTGAGTTCCGTATAAACGATTGGTGAGCGTCCCCCAATTACGGCCGGGTCTATGGGGGACACGCACGCAGCTGCACTTCAACTTGGATCTGGCAAAGGTGCGATTGTCACAACATTCGCGACACCCAATTGTCCGGCACGTGAGAAAATGGACGGTCGCAGTAACATAAACGGATCCGACGAAGGTGCCAGCGTCACTGCCACTTATCCGGCAAGTGAGAACACAGGCTGTCGCAGGGTCGTAAAGGAGATTGCCAGCCGAGGACAAGAAATAAGAGCCATGGGAACACGTGCGATGACGGCTATCGCCCGAACGCCAGCGCCCGACAAGAGGTAAACCCGTTGTAAGGAGACCATCACCACCTGTAAATACTGTGAGGCGTGGTACAACAGTCACCTCCGACGATGAAAGTTTGTTTGCTTTTTAAACGTCAGGACAATACAACTATGGTTCGCTAGATCGTCTCTTCTTCTCATTTATGTCCGTTGATGCGCATCTTCGCTTCTATCATATATACTGTAGATGTGCTAACTCATGAAATGTCAACCACAATTTTTAAAATGCGTTCTCGTTTCGAAAAGATAAATTTAGTAGTGTTGTAAAACTGACTATGGTGCAGCATAAAGCTATAATGATGCAGTTACCTCAGGGTGTCGGCTTTCAAAAAAACTTATTTTCGGCTGCATGGAAGATTTATACTCTGCAAAAAATGAGTACAAATATAGCATGCAATTTTCTCATTGATTGTTAATGCCGTTAAAGATGCAATAATATTTCAAGGAAAACATGCATAAAAATATGCATTCTTTTACTTTTTCGGTAGAAGATCACGTCTTCTTCCAAATTCATGCTCAAAAACAAAGTATAATTCGGTTTTAAAAAGTTTCTTATTGTGAGATTTTTTAAAACCGTTAAATGGCCGTTCATGAAAGGTTATTTATCTGCATTTACGAATGTGGCTTGTAAAGTTAACAATATTGCTCAAATCCACTGCTTAATGTTATGAACCTTATATGGTATCCTCTTAACACCGTAGAGAAATGCATGGTTTTCCGTACACAGAAAATATACAGCTTGTAGTTTTAAAACCCTGAACGAAAGCGAAACAGCAGGTCCGTTTTAAAATTATTCGGGAATTAGGAAAGTTTTTGAAAACCTAGTAATAATACTCTTATGCGTATGAAATTGAAAGAAGGCGTAAATTTCTATAGAAAAAGTAAAAGAATGAATATTTTAATGCATGTTTTCCATGAAATATGATTAAAGTTTCTAGGGCATCAAAAATCAATGAGAAAATTGCATGTCACATAATTAGTTATTCTTTGCAGAGAATAGATCTTGCATGCAACCGAAAATAAGTCCTTTGAAAGCCAACACCTTGAGGTAACTGCATCATTATAGCTTTATGCTGCACCATGATCAGCTTTACAACACTACTAAATTTATCTTTTCGAAACGAGAACGCATTTCGAAATTATGGTTAACATTGCATGAGATAGCACATTTAATGTATATATATATATATATATATATATATATATATATATATATGTTGGAAAGGTAATACCGACAAAGACAAGGGAGACCGGAATGGCCATTTCTGGCTTATTAGCCGTCATCAGCCAGTCATACCCAACCCCAAGTGTGGATCACTTGAGATTCGAACCCGGGATCTTTGGTCATGGAGTTGAACGCTCTACCATTGAGCCACGGGCCCGTTGTCCTGTCGGTTGTGATCGGGAATATTAATTATGATAGTGGGCGCTCACCGATCAGGTTACGGAACATGCTCGTTCCGTTGTGCCTTGGGGCTCATACTTAAACCCTCGCAGGCAGTCGCACAGCGACTAGTGATATAAGTTGGAAAGGTAATACCGACGGCTAATAAGCCAGAAATGGCCATTCCGGTCTCCCTTGTCTTTGTCCCAAACTCGACCTTCTCTCTTCATCTTCCTGAATGCTGACAATGCTTTCGGTCTAAACCGTATAAAGGCCCGTGGGGGGCCTCACAGACGCGCGGATACGACGAATATCTTGGTGATTACCACGCAATCGTTCAAGAACGATGGTGCTCTGGTGGGCACTGCACTGTCAAATGAAATATCATATTGCGTAACTTTTAGTGGACCGAAGAATACCCGGTTTTTGGGTAAATTATTTGGATACTTCACATACTGTCAATTCAGAAGGCGAAATCGCCTTTTCATAGATATTGTGTACGAAATTTTGTTAATTTACATGCGCATTTAAAATCGGTATATAACATGCCTACTGATTGCGTGATTATTTGTGAACGACTTTCTGTTTATGACGGTCAAATTGGGTTCAAATGAAAGCTAATATTCTGCTCTGTTCTAAATTTTACGAGATTGTTCTACAGGTTATTACAGCACCCATTAAGTACTTCCGGCTTATTAAAAAAACCTTTGAGAATTTCGGTTAACATTTCATGAGAGTGGCCACTGGGTGCACTCTATGCTGGTTTTGAAGCATACTACCTGTTCTACATCCATTGACGAATTTCATGAACCGTTTGTTATTTCATCCTAAATGCAAATAAAACTTTGCGACTTTCCAGATTGGATTACGTAGAGCATGCAGTATGTAAGCCCAGAATTTATTTGTAATGACAGGCGGGACAAGATGATTTCGGCAATAGAAAAGCAATCTGGAAGCCTAAATACTAGCTCTCCAAGCATCAAGTGGGAGGAGGACAGATTTGGCTGCCGCTTAAGCAGGCTTGAGTATATTCTTCTGCGCGTTAATATATCTGTATTTATAAACACATCAAAAATTAGGAAGAAAATGTAAACCGCTTAAATGGGAATTGTTGACAAACAATAGATTTCGTACTGGGCAA